CGCACGCCACCCACTCCGCACGCATCCGCGACACACACCTTCACCGCAACTCGACGGCACGCACACACCCACTCGCGCCACTGACGCCCCCCCCACGCAATGCACGCACAGCATGCCCATCAACCACTCCACGGCCTCGGCACTTGACGCACGCCACACACTACGCACTGACGCACGCACGACACGCAACGCATGCAGCACGACACTCAACCGGCACTGACGCCACGCCATGGCGCCGTTCCATCCGCATGCAACCGACCCACACATCGCGCAGCTGACCGCACGCAGCACACGGCCACGCACGCACACACGCACTGCAGCGCAACGACACGTCCGCCACTCACGCAACGCACACAGGCCGCCACGCATGCACCCACAACTCACGCACTGACGAGCCACAAGCACACACGCACGCATCGCACCCACACTCGCAGGCAATGCACGCACACACACTCGCGCGCACTGTGACGCACGACACACACGCACCACGCACACACACGTCGCACGGCTTGTATGCACGCATGCACCACGCACACTCGCGCACTGACGCACACACACACGCACGCACGCACACACGGCGCACTCGCACTGCTGCACGCCCGCATGCACGCAACACACCTCGGCGGCAGTGACGCCAGCGCACGCACGCACGCAGCGCACACACGCAACGCATAGCATGCACACACGACGCGCGTGCAGTCGAGCGTGCCACGGCAGCACACGCACAGGCCACGCCGCACGCACAGCGTCGACCGCACGCAACGCACGCGACTGACCCACGCACACAGCACTGCGCAACACACACGCACGCACGCCACACACGCACGCACGACACACTCGCATCCAATGCACACACACAACACGTAAGATCCCGCGGCACCTGCGCGTGCCTCGGGCGTCACTCACGCACGCACACACGCACGCACACACACGCACGGCACGCAGCATGCACGCATCACTACACTCCGCGCACTGACGTCAGCGCACGCGACGTGCGCACGCACGATTGCGCACGCCCACACAGACCGCACTGCACTGACGCACGAAAACGCTACGCACGCACACACACACACGTACGCAGCACACACTACTCGCAATGATATGCACTGCCACACACACACACGCACGCACACCACACTCGCTATGCATCGCACGCTGCCGCACACGACAACTCAGCACACACGATGAGCAACGCACAAGCACACTCTACACACTTCGTATCCGCAGTGCATGCAGCATGCTACGCGTGCACTGACGCACGCACGGCACACACACACATGCGAAACTCTAAAAATAAACATACAAAGAAACCGTTGTTAATTCATCAAAAAGCTATATAAAGTTTCTCTCTTCTTATAGAATTTCGTAGAAATTGGACATCTAAACGTGTCAAGACCTCGCAACAAAAGGCCTATATAGACCACTGTGAGCATACTTGCAAGTGTGCCAACCCCACATCACGAATGTTCTCATTGAACGCAGAAATGTGCTCCGATAGTTGACTATTTTTGAAAAACTTACGTCAGATGCCAAGTTATCTTTGTTAGCCATTAAGTTGCCAGATAACCGCCAAAATAGTACGGCTCAGGCAGTCCTATGCAATTAGAAGAATATGAGTAGACTCCTGATAGTATCCATGACGCCTATAGCGTAAATAGTTCCTGGAAACAAACACTCATATTCCTCGTGTTTCCTGCATTGCATATGTAATGTAGATAATACCGCATATACCTGAGTTTAAACAAATTTCACAAATTTTGTACTGAATAAACATATAATCCAATTAAATTACTACACTTGTTTATCATATGAAAAGAACTGGTTAACGATTCGCTGCGCTGCTGTCCGATGTGTAAACATCACTGTGGTGCGCTACTTATCGTAGAGCAAAACTGACATGCAGTGCCCCCTTCGCCACACTCAGGATATATAGCCACTGCCACAATCGCTAGCACTATTTTTAAAGGGGGCGGGAGCCCCCCGGGGAAATCAGCAAATGGCACACTCCACAACGGCCGCAAAGTCGCGGTCAAACAATAACATTTAGAAATATTCTATGATTTGCATGTTTGTTGCGGTGGCACAAAGTTAGAATGTTTTCAAAGCTGAATACGGCACAAAAATGTCATCCATACAAGACAAGTTTCGAGAATTAAGGTATATTTTGGCCAATCATCCCAAAAATTCCAATGATAAATACATGAACCTTAGTTTAGGAAACACGCGTAATGATTTGAAAGTGTAAAGTGGGCGCACTATTGTCGTACACTCATTTTTATCAAATTTCTTCATTAAAATAATGGTTGGATCTCTTTAATATCTTTGCAGCTTTTATAAGTACCACCGTATTACATAGGGCAGGATAACGGGGTCGTTCTGTAAAACTTTATAAGTAAAAAACGTAAGAAATTCTTAACGGAAACTCAGCTTGTGGCAGTTGGGATAGAATTGAGGCCAGAGGCGAGAGCGCCATCTGTCGTGGGAGGGTTTTCGTAAGAGATTGTGTTAAAAATTTCGTTTAAAATTTTGAGAAGAAATGCTTATTGAAAGTAGCAATAGCAAATGAGTTGTAGTGACATTTTTGCAACATAGCCGAGCTCACAGTAGGTCTACTATCGCATTTAGCTGGTTGGAGGTTCAAGCAACTTTAAAGGGTTTACATGCGCTTGAGTAATCGTCTGCCCGTGATGACGTCATCCAGAGCTAACGCTCATTCCCCACCGGTGATAGGATGCCGCAATGTTAAACCGCCATTTCAACCTTTAAAGCACAACATCAACCAATCACCAATCAATCAATCAATATCAATTCAATAATATCAATCAATCCTAACAGTGTACTCGCTGTAAGCACACACTGACAGTGAAAAACATACATGAAACATGTAATTAAGACATCTTGTGTACGAAAGGGTCCACTAAAAAGAAACACCACACGCACGTAACAACATGAGGTTCATAGGATTTATTCACGAGCGTATAACGGTGAAATGCTGAAACCATGTTTGCAGTATTAGTTCGAATTAAGAAAGCCTTCCATCGCTTTTTTTTTTACAACCGCATGTCCCTCAACGAGCCTCTACGCCCTGAGCATAATGAAGTCGCTGAAATCATCTGAGTATATTTTTGCGGAAAACGGACATACGAGGATCAGTGTTTATACTTGCGCCTGTCTCTCGCTTTGTGGCCAGTGTATTGCCTTCGGTCGCGCCTGCCTTTAGCCGCATGGTGCGCTGACCTCCGTCAGTACATACACAGAGATTACTAATACATCCAGGCTGAGGTGGCCACAGGTGGGGTCACCACTATGGCAATCAATAATCGAGACGTCAATTCATTCCATTTGCTCAATCATTGACGGAACACGCGAGGTTCCGAAGCTTATTTCAAAGCAAGACATCGCAGTAAACAGTGATCGCGAGTCGGTTTTCGCAAAAATACCGCACATTTTCCTACCCGCCTCATTCTATCTAGCCCGGCGTAGGACATGGCGGTTTGTTTTATCATAACAAGGTAGGACAGCGATCAAATAATACAAAGAATCGTCAAAATAACGGGGAAATTTTATTAATTCGATCCCATACTGCAACCATGTTTCAGGCATTTCACGCGTTGTATCCCGCTCTCCTTCTCTTATACGCTTTGATTAATATGCAATATTGGATACGAACCGCGCTTGATGGTCTGATACATACTTATGGATTGGCGCCTTAGCGTAGCCTACCCTGTATGTCACCGCCCCCAGGTTATATAACGTAATCACATATAAATTATACGTCTAAAGCATAGTCTGTTATTGATAGACATTCAAAAAAGGAAGCCGAAACGCGACAATGTTGTGCACGAAAGTGAAAGGCTCGGCCAGAATAGCATTCTAATCTTAGCCAAATTTTCTGTAGCGCCTACCAGCAAAACTGCAATGCACGCCGCCCCTTCGCACACTCAGGTTACCACTGCCACAAGCTAGCACTATTTTTAAGTGGGGCGGAGCCTCAGGGAAACCAGCGAAATGGCAATCCAAACGCTGCGAAGATCGCCAGTCGAAACATGAACATTAGGGACAATTTCTATTATTTTGCATGTTTGGTTGGTGCACAAATTTAGATTTTTAAGCTGAATTACCGCAAAAATGCATCCAAAGAGACACATGTTTCGAGAATTTAGGTATATTGAGCAAGCATCCCGAAAAAATTTATGATAAATATTAAATAAGCACACGTGAACTATTAGTTTAGTAAACAGCGTAATGATTTGAAAGTCAGTAAAATGGGCGCACTATTTCGTATCACTAATTTTCAAATTCTTTCATAAAATAATGGTCGCGCATTTTTAATAATCTTTGCAACTTTTATTAGTCGAAATCTTATTACATTAGATACCGAGTAACCCGTGCTGCTGTACAAACTTGTAGTAAAAAAAGCGGTTACATATCTGTAACCGACCAATCCATCTTGTGCAATGGTAGATGACTATGAGCGAGAGCCGCTCATTCTGTCGTGGAGTTTGGCGCTTACCAGTTGCTATCCATCTGATTGCGCACCCCTCGTAACATGTTTTCGCCCACAGCGCGTGCTCTGTATACACGTAACGTAACGTGACATGCTGACATGACGCCGTCACGATCCATTCGACAACGAATAAAAACAAACATAATAAGACACGAAATAACACAATTTTCGTGCACCGCCGACAGTTGATTGATGACTGATGCTTGCTATACGCTCGAGCAGTCTGATGTCCCCCAGGGTACCTGCGCGAACGTACCCATGGTACTTACTCTACATATGCTGCCCCGGACCGTACCGGCGCCTACTTCCACTAAACGAGTCTAAGGGAGTCGAGCCTACGCCTACGGCTACTCCCTAACCCTAACCTAATTCCTAACCCTAACCATATCAAATAGTTACCAGGGTACGTTCCGGTTATACCGGACCGTACCAGGGTACGTTCCGGCAGTAAGAACCGCTGCCGTGGACATAGACCTGCATGAGCGTTGCTTACTCAGCTATGAATGACCCCGGGTTTCTCTGTTGTGCTTGGTGGCAGGTAGCCTGTTGGGCATCGAACGAAGCTTGCCATACTGCACCGCGTCTTCGAACGCGCCGCGGATGTGTGCTAAACACACACGACGAAACAAACAAACAATCGAAACAAACCAAAACTCAGAGCATACGTTAATGTTAACGTTACGCACCGAACAAACAAACAAACAAACATAACAACACAACAACAATGAGCATATCGTTAATGTTACGTTACGGCACCGCGACAAACAAAACAAACAAACAAACAAACAACAATTCAACAACCAACATCGCAATACGGTTAGATGTTCGCTTACGCACGAAAACAAACAAACAACAACAACAACATGAGCATACGTTAATGTTACGTTACGCACCAACACTTGTAGTAAATAAAGGTATCGTCATCATTGTCACCTACTGCCACCTGGTGACAGCTGAACAATAAAAAACAAACAACAACAGCAACAACAACATGAACATTGCTGTATAGTGTTTTTTGTTTTTTTTTTGCGTACTTTAATTATTATAATTACAAGGATAAGTTTTGCGTGCACTCACGCGGCAGCTGAGGGAGAATTCTCTCCAGCAGGTGGCAGCGCATGTCCTTGCTAGGTGTCCGGAACGTCAACAAGAATTCGTGTGTAACGAGGGCACACCTGTCAACACAGGTATGTACAGGTACCTCGTTAGTGACGGAACAAAGGACATATATGTAATAAAGGACCAGTACACACATCTAATTTTGTAATCGATAAAGAAAAAATATATATAAGTGAACTAACACATGGAATAATGATTTACTGGTAGACAAACATGTGATTAAGGATTAACTCGTATATCAATCCATGGATTAAAGACTTACTGTGTATATTAATCTATGGATTAGTGATTTACCGCTGGTAGACATAGATTAAGCATTTACCTAGTAGACTAAACAGTGGATTAAGGATTAACCCCATATATTAATCGTGGATAAAGGGATTAACCTTTGTAGATTAATCCATGGATTAGTGATTTACCTTGTAGATTAGCACTGGGCTGGATTGGCTAGTACGATCTCGGCATGATTCACTGGAACTGCGGACATGACTCCATGAGAACGCCAACGAAGTGTGACGACACGACGACCGACTCATTAACGAGAGATCTACGCAACCTGGAGAAACATCCGTCAGCGACGACCGTGAGCGAAGCGCGGAGATGCTGAAAAACAAGAGAACGCCGCGACGGTGAGCGACGCGAGACGTTGCAACGAGTGTGGAAACAAGCGAAGTTGCCATGGTAACACAGCTTCCCAAAGGAGAAGCTCTCATGACATGACAGCCTCCGCCCACAGGGCACCGGGGAATAATAGCAAGAATTATTCACGTCTCATTCTCGATTATTCATCTGCACACAACTCACAGAGTGTTCGTAGTTCCTAACGTTGCCCCCCCCCCCCCACCCCACCATCGCGCGCGCACCCCTCACAGTGCTACCCGATGAAACATTCCAGGATGAATCGCGATGAGCAGGGCTACGCAATCGCTGCCATCACTAATCCACAGTGATCTCATTATATAATATATATATATGCGAGAGGAAGGGCTTGCTGAGGGGAAGGGGTGAGGAGGAGGTGTGAGAAGAGGGGTGGAGGATTAGTGGGGGTGTCAATAACACCAATGACGTAAGCTGTAACGCCAGAGGCATGGGTATCGCAGCATTCAGTACGTGTATGTGTTTGTGTGCTGGTGCGTGCATGCGTGCGTGCGGCGTGCGTGCATGCATGATGGTATGTGTATGCATGGTGTATGATGCATGGTATGCATTGTATGGTGTACATGTGTATGCATGTATGTGTATGCATGTGTATGCATGGTATGTGTTCTGATATGTTATGTGTATGTCATGCAAGCAGTATGCATGTATGTGTATGTATGTATGTGTATGCATGCGTATGCATGCATGTACGAATGTAGACTGTGGAATGCATCCATAATTTGGCCAGAATTGGTAAATTTACCGAGAAAAATTTAAAGTTAGATAAGAAAAAATTTTAACAAAAATATTTGAAACTGCCGAAACAAGTGAGCGTACGTACCTGCGTGCCCTCACCATCCTTGGCTTTGTACTGTACTCCTACTATGACACCGTGTTCTTCTATCAGTCGTGTAGCCGTTGCTTCGATCACGGTCACTCTATATAACACACGCACCAAGGAGGTCAAAACTAACATAGGTATGCCATTATTTCCGGAACAAGCAGATCTATCGTCAGAAATTAATTAATTAAAAAATTATTCAAAATTAATTGTCAAAATTAAAAGGTTATTTAGTTTATTAAATTCACGGCACTTTTGAAAATATTTTTATCATCTATTTACTCAGTGATTCTCTGTCACTACCCTCTCTAGCCAAACCTAAAGGCAAATCCTAATGCGAGAAAAAACTCACGTCTCTTGTTTCTGCGCCTCCCTGCGCAGACCAGCGATGAAGCGGCCATGATGGAACGCGCGGCCGGCCTGCACGCGACCTTCAGCGTCCTTGGGGTAGTGCAGCACGACATTGGAGCCGGTGTGAAGGTCGTGAACAACGTATCCGTGCATCGCCTCTGCCTCTATCCCGTCCAACGCAGCTGCAAGCGCGCGATAAACACAAGAACGTCAATCAATGGCTCACTTTATAATTTTGTTTATTTATATTACTATATTCGTTGCGGTACCTCGATAAAGTAACTTACAAGGCAACTGTGTGTAAACAACAGATGCATGAATGTTCTACTTTATAATTACTCTTTTTTTATTATTATATTTATTACTTTAAAATTACATTTGATTATTACTTTTTTAATGGTGATCTTCGACAAAGCAACTAACGATATAAAATGATCGATGATCTAACATGAGAAACCTTGCCCACCTTCGAGTCCTAGCTCCTGTAGAGCGTGGAAGCCTCCTGGTTGCAGGAGTTCTCCCAGAATCCTGTCCGGTTCACTCATATCCCGCTCCAGCAGCACGACATTCCTGCCCTCACGACCCAGCACCGCTGCCAGTGCAGAACCTGCAGCGTGTACCACGTATATATATATATATGTATATATATGTATATATATATATACA